AACGGTCGGAGTAATTTCACTGACTGTTATTAATCACTGCTAATGAACAGTGCAGGCATCAAACTTACTCTGAACATGGATCCGAATCCTAAAAGCATTCTTGATTACTTTAAAAATATTCAGTAAACTGACATGTAAGAATAATCACAGCTGTATCGCTTACACAAACTAAATCTAAATCCTCGTATCATGATTCATCACTATATAAGACTGTATGTAATAATCAGCAGTTGAACGATCATGTTCTTCGTATCGTCATTCCTGATCTGTTTGTCAGTTCATGGAAACGACAGTTCATACAGAAAAATTTACTTAAAACCTGGATCTGAATCCAGATAGCGACTATTTTATATAATAAATTTACATGGTACTATTATGAATTCATTACTGTATATTGTACAAATCGAAGTAAACACACTGAACTGTTATTAGTCACTGCTAACGAACAGTTCATACAACAAATTTACTTAAAACCTGAATCTGAATCCAGAGAGCGACTATTTTATATAATAAATTTACATGGTAGTATTATGAATTCATTACTGTATATTGTACAATCGGTGTAAACACACTTTACTGTTATCAGTCACTGCTGATGAACAGTTCACACAACAAATTTACTTAAAACCTGGATCTGAATCCAGGTAGCGACTATATTATATAATAACTTTACACGGTAGAATTATGAATTCATTACTGTATATTGTACAATCGGAGTAAACACACTGAACTGTTATTAGTCACTGCTAATAAACAGTGCATACAACAAATTTACTTAAAACCTGGATCTGAATCCAGCGAGCGACTCTTTTTTATGATAAATTTAAATGGTAGTATTATGAATTCATTACTGTATATTGTACAATCGGAGCAAACACAATGAACTGTTATTATTCACTGCCAATGAACAGTTCATACAACAAATTTGCTTTGAACCTGGATCTGAATCCAGAGAGTGACTATTTTATATAATAAATTTGCATCGTAGTATTTAAAATTCATAACTGTATATTGTTTATTCGGATAAGACTATCTAAAAATGCAGATAGGAAAAACTTCATCTGCATCAGCTACAATAACTAACATTGTTAACAAAAATACATCACTGGATATACGTAAATGATGTATAGTTTACAATGTAAGGCTCATATTCGGTTTCACAATGCTGACTTGTGTGCCAGCTCATTTCATAAAACTGAGAAACATACGCTGCATCTGGATGCATTGTAAATACTGCCACAGCTAAGTAAATCAATCATCAATCATTAATATCAAAATAAACACACTGAACTGTTATTAGTCACTGCTAATGAACAGTACAGGCAACAAATTTACTCCTGAACCTGAATTCAGAAAGCTACCTTAGTTTTATATTTTACGAATCTAAACTTGCAGGTAGAAAATATAATCTCATCTGCATCACTTGAATACGTAAATTATGTACAGTTTAAACCGCAAGTTTATCGTCTTGTACAATGTTGATCTGCTTGCTAGTTCATGGAATCCACATTTTCTTGAAACTGTTTTTTACAGGTAAAACCGCTCTGCATTTGAAAGCGTTATACTGTCCTAGCAAGACACATTAACAAAACGTACGACCAAAGCAATGTCAGCAAATTCACTGAACTGTTATTAGTCATTGCTAATGAACAGGCCATGATCACATGCTCATGTTGATCATGTACAATATCGATTTGTTTGCGATTTCAAATAATTAAAAAAAAATGTTTGTGGAAACTGTTAAAACTCCTTTGCACTAGGAAGCCTGCATATTGCTTTGCTGAAACGGCTTACGAAAGGGAAAAACGAAGTAATATCACCAAACACACTGGACTGTTATTGGTCGCTGCTAATGAACAGTCAACTACACAAGGTAATAATTACATGGGGCTGAAAACTCAAGCTTGGTTTTGATTGCCTCTATCACCTTTACACATTTTAGGCTTTTTGAGCGATTTGGACGATACGGAGGATCACATGAAAACCAGACTTAAATGCAGCGTTACGAACTTCTTCAACAGACATTTTGAATCGTTTGCATCTTACGCAACAGCGACTATCACTAAGGAAAACGGAAATCACCTTTAAATATTGGGTAGGGGTTGTGCTCAGTAGACCTAAGAAGTAGCTTCAAAAGGGTATTAGGTTTTAATCGGTTGCACCAATTACATGGTATAGCTACAAACAGTTGCAAAAGTACTTGAGACACTGTACTGTACCTATTTTGGCTGTCCATATCTTGTGCTTGGGATCCACCCTCCACCCCTTATCAAAGTTGCTAGCAATACAAGACCATGCTCAAAATTTGGAGGAACAACTTTGAATGGAAAGGAGGAGGGAGGTGAGGTGTGTGACTAGCAGCGATTTGAAGTAGTACAAATCGGTTTTTCGTGGAAGTGTTTTTCAACTGGTTGTAGTTTTGAACCATAACATGGAACAGCCAAAAATGTAATGAACTATTTTGTGTTTACGTTGAAATGAAGAATGCTGTCTAAGAAAATTAATGGCGTTTCTAGATGAGTTACAAATCAACTAATACCAGGAGCCCATTTCTTCTCAGCATCACTGGGGGCGGGGGGAACCCATATAAAAGTGACGGGGAAGCTCATCTTCTTGCTTAGGGGTAGGGATTGCGAACTTTGGTCTCACTTAGCGTGGCCAGGACGCAAAGCCAATATTTGTTTCCTTACAGGTATCGTCTAGGGCTAGATGAGTTCATTCTCTCTTCCTTGAGGCTGTGCGTGAAAAAATTGTATCTCAAAAAAGGCAAAACACCACCATACTTTGTTGAAGTATCGTCTCCTTTAGGGATTTAATTCTAATTTTCCAATGAGCTTCCCTTTCCCTATTATACGGGAGTCACCGCCAACCAACCCTGGCCGGTTAGTAATTAATGTTACAGTACGTTAGGCGTTTCCCCTATTTTAAGATTTCTTTCTCCGCAAAATCCACTTTATTCAAAAACGACATCGCGATCAGCAATGGAAGGTGATGTCCTAAATGAAGCCCCATTGGTTCTTACTTATTATTCAGGTTTCTTCAGCCAAATGAACAAAGTAAACTCTCTTCGGCTGAAAATTCGTTGACCTCATGCCCCATTGCTGAAAATTCTACTTCTGAACCAGGCCGACATGAGTGATGGACTCTTGAGTTTGATGGACTCCTGGTTTTACTCATGATGGTTACGCATCGCATGCTGTGTTTACGCTAAGAGGTACAAAAATCTCTCGATCTACTCCAACGTAATTTTGGGTATCCCTGTGCTTTGAGTAACTCCGCATACAAATCCCTCGTGATGCGGTTTTTTCTTTATTTCAGGTCAGTGTTACGGGTATTCCCTAGTACCCTTCCGGGAAACTAAAATCCCTTGTTATTTGGGTTGTTGTTTCGAAGGCACTATATTTCGCAGCTTACCCTGGGTATCCCCTAGTACCCTACCGGGAAACTAACATCCCTTGTTATTTGGGTTGTTGTTTTGAAGGCACTATATTTCGCAGCGTACCCTGGGTATCCCCTAGTACCCTACCGGGATGCTAACATCCCTTGTTATTTGGGTTGTTGTTTCGAAGGCACTATATTTCGCAGCGCACCCTGGGTATCCCCTAGTACCCTACCGGGAAACTAACATCCCTTGTTATTTGGGTTGTTGTTTCGAAGGCACTGTCTTTCGCAGCGTACCCTGGGTATCCCCTAGTACCCTACCGGGAAACTAACATCCCTTGTTATTTGGGTTGTTGTTTCGAAGGCACTATATTTCGCAGCGTACCCTGGGTATCCCCTAGTACCCTACCGGGATGCTAACATCCCTTGTTATTTGGGTTGTTGTTTCGAGGTGCTATCCTTCGCAGCGTACCCTGGGTATCCCCTAGTACCCTACCGGGATACTAACATCCCTTGTTATTTGGGTTGTTGTTTCGAGGTGCTATCCTTCGCAGCGTACCCTGGGTATCCCCTAGTACCCTACCGGGATACTAACATCCCTTGTTATTTGGGTTGTTGTTTCGAGGTGCTATCCTTCGCAGCGTACCCTGGGTATCCCCTAGTACCCTACCGGGATACTAACATCCCTTGTTATTTGGGTTGTTGTTTCGAGGTGCTATCCTTCGCAGCGTACCCTGGGTATCCCCTAGTACCCTACCGGGATACTAACATCCCTTGTTATTTGGGTTGTTGTTTCGAGGTGCTATCCTTCGCAGCGTACCCTGGGTATCCCCTTTAGTACCCTATCGTTCGCAGCGTAGCCTGGGTAGTAAGCATGATCCGGTTAAACACCGTGCCCACCCGGATCATGCCTGCCACTCAATCTACTCACAGTATTTTGTATCTTGGACAGGAATTCCGGCAAATAAAATGGCCTCGTGTGATTGTTTAAAGATTGCCTTATGTGATTAGTTTGCACATAAAGAGACACTGCATGCACACGTAAAATGTTGCATCAGTATAAGAGGAACGTTTTGACAGCTGGTGGTTTTTGTCTATGTGACCACCGGCAATCGCAGTAGCCATTTCTTTTTAAAACACGGCTTTCATTCTAACTTTGTCTTGAAGATCTATAACTGAGCTGGTGGTCGACCATTGTGAAATAAAAACTACAATTCAATTCCACTATTTTAAGGACATCGCAACGAACTGACACAACAACAACAGTATAAAGAAGTCAAGTTGTAGAGCCAATTTCAGTGGTTGTAAAACGACCATGATAGGATCATTGTTTTCACCCACATCACCAGGGATCTGAGGGCACGGGTTCAAAATATTGGGATACTTAAATCAAGAAAACAACCAAAATGCGAGAGACTTAGTTTAGGGTGACATGAAAATACGGGGATATTGGGGGGCATCCGAAATGCGAGGATACTTTAATTAGGGGGATACCCAAATTGGGGGATACTAAAATTGGAGGGATATAAGTCATATCTAAGGGTATTTTTAAATACGGGGATACCTAAACGATTTCCACACAGTTGGTGGTAGTCATTGACTGTCCAGCATGGTACCATTTCATCAAATGCGACTCCCTTTTCTTGTAGTTCTGCCTCTGTAAGTACGCAAAATGTAGGCTGCCATGTACCAATAGGGGTCGTCTATGATAAAGAAGACAAGCACCAACGGATTAAAAATAACGTAAAGTTAGTTCGTGAACATGGTAGCCATAACTGTTTTGCAAAAACAATGCCATTGGTTGGTAGGCAATTAGAGACACACGGTGTGTCTCTAATTGCCTACCAACCTCAGCGTGATTGAAAAAGTCATCACTTTAACGAAACGTACACGTGTAATCGTCCTTCTAGAAGGAACATTATGTAAACAGGTGTCACGGCTGGACCACTATTCGACAAGTTTTCTTTTACAAAATTGTGTCTTTTTAGTATGGATAAGAATGGATACACAGCTCCTTTGAAGAACGGTTCCTTTTCGTCTACCAGGAAGTTCCTGGGTATTACGAGCATCAATAATGGGAATCACAAAAGAGAAACTTACATGATAATCTGACTTCAAGTACATGTTCCATTTATTTGTCACGAAGGATGTAGAGTGTGGGAAGGACCTCCAGGGGTCCATCAAGTGGTTCCTTTCATTTGCTAATGTACACAGCTCAGTGGCTTCTTTCTTCGTCAGTTGAACTTTTTCAAGGCTGAGATCAGAAAGTTGAGGACTACTTCTGAGACACCTGATTAGTTCAGTCACTCCACGGCCCAGCGGATTATTGCCAAGCGAAAGGAACTTCAGTTCTGGTACGTTGACGAGCCTATGGGCTAAAGCTGTGACTTCCTCTACACCCATCTGTGTATCATCCAGGTGCAGCTTTTTCAGATGAGGTACATTGTGCAGGTGTTTGGTAAACTCACTTATCCCTTGACCGAGTGGGTTGTTTGATAAGTGAAGTTCACTCAGCTGAGTCACATTCTTTAAACTATGGGCTAAAGCTGTAACTTCCTCTTCATCCATCTGTGTATTTTGCAGGCACAGCTTTTCTAGATGAGGTACATTGTGCAGCTGTTTTGCAAGCTCACTTATCCTGTGACCGAGTGGGTTGTTTAATAAGTCAAGCTTACTCAGCTGAGTCACATACTTTAAACTACGGGCTAAAGCTGTGACTTCCTCCTCACCCATCTGTGTAGCACTCAGGTCCAGCTCTTTCAGATGAGGCACACTGAACAGGTGTTTAGCAAGCTCAAATATCCCGTGACCGAGTGCGTTGTTTGATAAGCGAAGTTCACTCAGCTGAGTCACATTCTGTAAACTATGGGCTAAAGCTGAAACTTCCTCTTCACCCATCTGTGTACTCTCCAGGAGCAGCACTTGTAGATGAGGTACACTGTGCAGGTGTTTAGCAAGCACACTTATCCCGTGACCGAGTGGGTTACCTGATAACCCCAGTAAGCGTAACTTATCAACATACTTTAAAGCAGTGGCAAGTAACTGACACTCTTGATTCTCCATACCAACACCATGTAAATCGAGCTTGGATAGTCGAGGCACATGTTGAAGATTATTCAGTAAACTGACAAGTTCACTTGTTGGTACCCAAATTTTAATCTCTCTCAAATATGACAGAGAGTGGGTCAGAGTCTGGTCAGATGTTTTCTCAGTTAACTGTGAAGAGTTGCGAACATCATGATTCTGTGACACGTGATCAGGCTCTTGAAGAGAGGAATTTGGTGCTGATATTAATGATCTAAGCAGTTCATCGCATTTCGGACCATCGGTTCGTATCCATGGAAGTGCCTCAAGGAGAGTTAAACATAAGACTGATCGCTGTCCAACTTTCTTCAAGAAAAATTGGGGAGCTTCTAGATGGCAATACTTAATATCTACGGATTTTGAATCACCATAACACGTCACAACAACTGTGTCCAAATCGAACATGATAGAAGACCTTTGATCACGCTTGTCAGATTCTTCTTCGTACCTGCCAAAGTTTCCTTTAAAAAATACATAATCTGGCCTACGGACACTTGATGACCTCAAACAATGTTCTCTAGCAACTGCAGACGTCAAAAGGGAGGGATTGTCTAAATCTATCACTATAACAAAATTGAGGCATTGTAGAAAAGAAGGATAGACAACTTGTCTGTCTGAGGCAGGGCAGGAAACAAAAAGATCTAGACAAGTATGATTAAACTGTCTTTGTTCTTCTGTGAGTTCCTTAACAGAAGGGTTTTCACCGAAGTTGTAATCTACCAGACCTTCTGTTTCTCCTATCATCTTCAGTTGGCTAAAAACAGCAATGGTAGCTTCTGATGACAACTCAGACACAAACTTGAAAACTTCAAACAGCTCCTTAAACCGTTTAAATGAGTCGACTTTAGACAGAGAGTTGAAGGGTTCCTCGGCATTTTTTAAATCACGAACTAAAAACGAAGCGGCAAGGAATTCTTGCACCGATTTATGAAGAAAGAACGCCAGTTTCTCAGGATGAGGAGAGTCTGAAAGGTTAGAAGTCTGTAGAAAGCCAAAATCGATAAACTTCTCAAGGAATAACCGAATGTCCTCGGGCAAGTTGCTGAGCTTGAAATAAAGACAGTCATTTAAAAGTGCCTGCCAGGCAAGTTCCCCCAACTTTGCGAGGTCTTCTCTGTATTCATCCACGCTTCTAAATGTCTCATCTAAGGTTTTTGCGGTCACGTGATCAAGCAGCGTCTGACAAAAACTGTTATACAGATTTGCACGGGATGTTGATGGTCCTTGATAATCAGAAACCTTCCAGCTTAGAACCAACATTAACAAAAGAAGTGGTATTTCCGCCAAGTCCCACAGGTTGTGCCCATACAGGAAATTTGAAAACTTTTCTACTTCTGTTTGATCGCGAAGAAATTTAAGAACAAATGCTTTAACTTGCCCCTGATTAAACCCTTTAACTTCAATCTGAGCATGACTTCCTGGTCTTAACTCATCTTTTTTCAGCGATCGTGTTGTCACAAGAAGAGTGCAATCTCTCAATTGAGTGCCTTTCCACATCAGATGAAATGGCGATGATTTTTCGGCGCTATATTCATCATAGCCGTCTAAAATAAGTAGGACTTTCTGTTGGTTACGAAGAATGTAATTATACAATTGGCTAAACACCATAGGGTCACCTGCGGACAACAGCTCCGCCTTTTGTAGCATGGCACAGAAGTCTTGCGTGTTGCAAACATCTCGCAGCTTGATTAAAAGTACAACAGCAAACTTCGTTAGGATTTCTTTATTACCGCGTGACCAGTCCACGACGAGTTTCTTTGTCAATGTTGACTTTCCTATTCCTGGCCTCCCATACACTAAAATTCTCTTAGGAATTAGATGATGACCATGGCTTTCGAATATCTCACTGTAATCTTTAGTCTTTTCTTTTGTTGTTCCAGCAAGTTTTCTGTCATCTCTTAGCAGTGTTAACTGTACATACACCTCATCAATGTCCATGGTATTATCTCGGTCCCAAGGGGTAATCATTAACTGGCTTGCGGTGCTGTTGTAAAATGAGCAAAGCTGATTTTGACTCCACTCCAAAAAAGCAGTTGCAGCATCTGTTTATAGAGAAAAGTAAATCTTTTTAAACGTAAATCGTCTCTAAAGCATTGAGCAGTAGGAAGTTGATTGTACAAGTTTTGTGGTAGAACTGATAATCGTAGTTTTTCTATTACGGCCATTTACATCTAAGCGTGAAATAAAAATAAAGCCTGATCTCAGGTTAACACTGGAGCAAGATTCTTCATGCGTTATTGATCAATTCTTAAGATAATTATAGATTTCAAAACTTTCATACTACAATTAGTTTACATTATACTGGCCTCCCCTTCTTATTTAGTATTACAAAATCAAAATGTCCTGATTATTTTAACTCGTTCATTGACGTTACACATGGCTTTTGAAGCTGTGTTGTTGTTGTTTTGTACCGTAAGTCAGTCGCTCAGGATAAGGGTGTGAAAACCTTACAAATTTAACAAATAAGCTACGGAACGGAGAGCAAATAGTACTAATTAGACAAGAGAACTTAACAGAGGAGAGGGAAGAGGGTTTTTTTTTCAATTAAATGGAACACATGTACTGTGAACGTTCAAATTAGCACCCGCCTTCAAATAAGTGCTCCCCCCCTCCAAGGACAAAATAATTTTGCCCAATTATTAGCTAATATACACGACACCCCTGATATGAGAGGTCCAAAAACATCAACCATGACAAGAAAACACAAACAAAAAACTTAAAACCAAAAACGAGAAAAAAGGAAAGAAACAAAAAACAAGAGGAAGGGAAAATGAACGGAAAAATGTAGCTTAAACTCGTAACATGTTGAAATGCCTACAAGTACAATGTAGCATTAGACACTAAAGTCCCTGTGCACACGAATCTGGATATTTCTGAAACCGCACATTTTCTTTATCACAAGACGGCCTCCCTTCAACACTGAACCAGTGAAGCAGCTCAGTCTTCCGTGCCTATTCATGTAAAAAAAAAATATGCGGTTTCAAAGATATCCGGATTGGTGTGGACTGGGGCTTTAAATTGTTACCTGAGGTACTTGGTAACTGTTCGTTTGTTCTGCAGGATGAGCTTTGCTCTGATAAATCTGCAGGTAAAAGAGATCTTTCACTTAAATTCAAGAAATTTGCTAGAAATAACCGCTACTAATAACCTCACTAGAAGTGCATATCAAGACTAAAAGTGTAGTTTTAACACTTAGGATTTAGATTTTGAAATCTGGATTTCTGATTTTGGAATCAAACGCGAAATCCGAAAACGGATTTCATCTCCGAGAAATCTGTCCTCTGGGTGAAAGGGTGAATCCGGATTTCATGGATTTCCTTTTTACCACTTGATTGGGAAATACGAAAAAGGATTTGCAAAACTATTCTTGTGAATAGCGCTTTTCTTTTTGCTAATTATGTGTGCATATGCTAGACCGCTGTTCTTAAGGGCAGTTTGTTAAATCTTTTTCAGATTTCCCAATTGAACGGTAAAAAGGAAATTCAAAAACAGATATCTCAGTGTTGAAATCCGCTTGCGGATTTCGTGTTCGATTGCAAATCCCAAATCCGGATTTTAAAATCGAAATCTAGATTTTCCAATCGACTGCACCCTTAAAAAAAGAAATATAGCTATGTGGTCAGCTCAATATGACTGCTGAACAAAAAAAACCAGACTCATCAGAGAACACTTGGTGGCGGTTGTTAAATAGAGGATATTACATGACAGCGCGTGGATACAAATTTTATCTTCGAGTGTTCAACTCGATATCTCACGACGAGTGAGCACACCGAATGAGCGAGATATTGAGATGCTGTGATGCTCTTTTCCTATTGACTGAGACTCAAGTAGCCATGACAACCATGACATCTTCACATATGAAGGATAAAAATTGTATCTTCACTGGATACCAAATTCTTGTCACTGGAAAAATCCTGGTATTTCATCGGTGTCTATATAATTAACCTAAAAAAAGTTTTTCTAACCTATACCTCACAACAAAATCCACAATTTTTTTTGTTCAGTTACTCTCACTTACATTCAAGACTGAATCTACTAGAAATAACTGCTACTAATAACATCACTAAAACTGCATAATATCAAGACTAGTGTAGTTGTAACACTTAAAAAAAAGAAATATAGCTATGTGGTCAGCTCAATATGACTACTGGAAAAAAACAGACTCATCAGCTAAGAACACTTGGTGGCGGTTGTTAAACAATAGAAGGTTCTTGTAATCTAATTACCCTGTTTCACACAACATCCTCAACTTTTTTTTGTTCAGTTTCATGACTGTACTTCAATCTCTTTTTGGTTTAAAATGACGAGAGATCTCTTCAATGCTCTTACAGTTTGTAGGTTCCTTTAAGAAACCGTAACAAATATTAATAACTACACCAAAAAGAAACAGAAAAAGATGTCATGTGTGGCACCTCCCCCATAATGCAGTGTTGAGTCACTATGGCATCAAGGAAGTACATTCTAACACACCACTAGTTCCCTTAAAAAAAGGGAAATAACAGTATGAGAAATATTTACCTTGGTAATGAGGCCATGAATGAAAAACACAGGGCTCACTCAAAATGTGTGCAACAAGAGATGCTGCCATCACACTAGCACAGGACAACCAACTCTCTGAAGGCAACTGGGAACCATCTGCATAATCAGCTATTCCTTTAACAATTAACCACTCAATTTGACAGTCAAATGCTGCTGTAAACACTCCTATAGAACAACAAAGAAAATGGCACTTGAGTTGAAGACACTCCTACAGCAATATACAGTAGTTTACATTATTTTGCACATCTAACTTTCCATAAAAAAGGAAAAAAAAACTAAAAGCTAACTGGAGTTGGAAAATGGATGAAAAATGAGGAAGGTGTGAACTGTGGAAATATGTACAGCCCCCTTCCCAGTTGTGTCAGTTTGGATGCGGTTACAGACAGCTTACACCTTCATTGCTCTGGTGGACATACTTCAGGCAGGCATTTGGTCTTCTATTCATCTTCAGTGGTGAGTTGCTTTTCTTTAGTTTTTATTACAAGGGATTTTGGGGTTGGTGTTTAATGCCCTTGGGGAAACCAAGTCCTTTGACTCCCCTGTTTGCGCCATGCACCTTCCCCACACCCATCTTTTGCCAATGGGTTAATGTGGCTAAATGTATGTAATTTAGGCAGCCGTCTCCATCACTAACTGTACATGGAGCGGTCTTGGGCTTTAGCATATTTTACAGCACTTTCCTTGAAGTGAATAATTTTGCTCAAGTTGCTATGTCAAATCAATCAATCAAACAATCAATCTTTTATTCATATTTGCAACTTAATTACTAATGTATTACATCATAACAATCTGTTAGCAGGAGATCTTTGCAAGCTCAGCTGAGCTTTTCCAAGGAGGTCCCCTTTAATATACGCATTGCAAACATATGTATTGAATATGGTGGCCTTTCATATTATTAAGCAGCAAGAGTATTACACTGTTTATGTGTTCCACTATTTTGTCCTTTGCTCTAAAAATTACAAAATGTGTTTTCTTCACATTTAATGACAACTTGTTGGCAGCAAGCCAATTTGCAACTTTACAAAGCTCTCGATTAGCATTGTCACATAGTATCTTAATTTATTTCTTTTCAAGCTTGTGCGCGGGCGGTATCCTCCAAATCCTGCAATCTGGTTAGTTCTGAGAGCAGGCGGTATTTTACGATCTTGCCCGCGAACCCAGGCAGAATCTTTGGCAGCTTCATTCACAAGTTTGTTTGTTGTTTGTGAATGAGCAAAACCGTGATGTTCAAACCAGTTTTCTTTTAAAACTTGCACTATTATTGGCATTAGTAAGGGAAAAGGGAATTTTATTATTCAGACCAAAAATCTGAAGGGAGAATCAAGCAAGTCAGTCAGAAAAACCGCTAAAGTAAAGCAAAACAGGTGGCTCGTGATGTCGCTTCACTAGCTTAATAACCGCCCTGTAGGTACTGCAATCTTGCTTTTGTGCACTCTTTATTCGACATTTTTGCTCTGTTTGTAGTTTGTTTCCCATTTTTGCTGTCTGAATCTAGATTCTGCCGTTTTTCATTGAACTTTTTTCTCGCTAGCTAGTTTTCTATTTATCAGAAAATGTTGTTGTCAATGATTACCGATTTAGCTTTCAATCTTAAATACACAACACGAATCACTTTTCCAGCAGTCGGTTATTGCTGCTTTCATTTCAAATTCTTCAATACTTATTACTCACATTGCCTTCTTTTATTCAAATTCATTTCAAAACTTTAGGATTGGTATGTGTTAATAGCTCTTTTTATAAAGCCTTTGTGACGTTTTCATCCCGCTCGATTGAACTAATCTTTATGAAGTAATTCAGCCAAAGAAAATCTTTGCTGTATATTTTTTCCGGGGCTTTTAATATTAAACTCGTCAATCTTCTTATCCTTGTTTGACTCTCAGATTGTGAATTGTCTACCGAGTCACAAAAACCTTTCACTATTCCAAAAGATCGAGAGCTTGTCATAAAATAAATTAGCGAGCTAAAAATCATGTTGTAATGTTTTGTTTTGGTTTGTAATCGATTGCGTGCTTCATCAACAGAGACTTCAACCCACATAGGTTGGAGGATGAAGTAAAATTTTCTTAAAAGTTTTAAATCTCAGAAGGAAAAAAATAAACGTGTTATTCACTGGCCCATCTCGGTCCGTACTGGGAGAAACTATGCCCTTGGTCTGAGTATTGTCCTCGGCCGTACTCAGACCTCGGGCACAGTTTCTCCCAATATGGACCGACCTGGGCCGGTGAATAACATATATATCTTTGTCAGTGATGAATAAATTAATACCATCTGCAAACAGCAAAAATGATAACAAACTTAAACTTTCCGAAATGTCATTTACATACACTAAAAACAACGAGGGGCCTAGGACAGACCCTTGGGAAACCCCACAAGTAACGATGGAATTTGTTGACTCAACGGATCTATAATTAACTATTTGTTTCCTATTTGATAAGAAGTTACGAAACCATTCTAACACAATCCCCCTGAATCCATAGTACTCACGTTTATCTAACAGAATATAATGATTCACAGTATCATATGTTGCTTTCGCACGCAGTAACTTAACCTGTTTTTTGCTCCCAGCCCTCCCTTCCCTTTAGATGTTTTTTTTTTGGTAAGTATGTGCGCATTTCTCCTTTGAAGGTCTCAGTGACAGTGCCAGGAAGGTGCTGCTCATATATGTAGGGTTGTCATGGTTACCTTCCACGTTCGCTTGTGGCTCCCTTCAGTTTTTCAGTTTCACCAGGCACCTTCCCCACACCTATCATTTGTCAATTTATTTATTTATTTGTTTATTATCATTTTTGCCATCAAAAACAAACATATACGTATTAAGTTTAAAAGGAGATGGGGCAAGGGGGTTCAAGGAAGCCAATAAGGCTTGTGAATAGGACCCCCTTTAAAATTATGTTATATAATAAATAAATAAAATACTGACATCGGCAAAACAATTTAACTCTCTAAGTATGCACAATTTTTTTAAGAACATAGATAAAAAGTGATAAGGTGTGTAAGTGCAAAAAACGAAAAAGGAAAGGTAAGAAAAAAAATAATGCAAGAATAAATGAGAAAAAAAGCGAAAAATACACACAAGCATTAAGAGAACTAAAGTATACTTATTAAACAAGGCAATACTAGAGGCAGTCTGAATTTCAGAAGTAAGGGAATGAAATATTTTGGGCCCTTAAAAACAAACTGAAAATTTTCTTACATTTGTCCTGTAGTAGGAGAAACGGATGGAATTCTTACTTCTATATGAATGTACGTCACAGTTAAGCAAAAACATGTCACTGAAACTGTTAGGAAGAAGGTGCTTTTTATTAAGGTATATAACTTTACTTATTTGGAATTTGATAATATCTTCAAATTTTAGAATTCGTAAGCTTACAAAAATAGGATTGGCATGTGCATCAAAAGGACCCCTGGAAACTATTCTGATAACCCATTTTTGAAGATTAATCAAACGCTTAAGGGTTTAATGGGTTTAATTTGCAGATATTATCATTGTAATTAAAACAGCAATCAAAGCGAAACGTGAAAAAAGTAGGGGGGAGGGGTGGTGGGGGGCTCTAACGGAATTTGAACCCATGGCGTCTGCATTAGCATGACAAACTGTGCTCTGGCAACTGAGCATTGAATGAAGACCCATTCAATGGGAGCAGGCCCACCTTTACAGCAAAAAAAAAAAAATTATAATATCAAACTCAAACAAGCAAACAATGAATTGAACAATGCCTTGAAATAGACACTGAATCAAAAGCAACATACACATCTACAAGTTAAAAGAGACCTGACTGCATGCACTTCCTTCCTAACACTGGCTGCATAAAACGTCAACTCACCTTCTCCTTCATTTTCTATTGCCATTGCCCGAGGATTGGTTTCAGCAAGTTGATCACGCCGCCACTCAGCTCTGACTTCTTCCGGTCCACTCAAAAACTCAGCATCAGTATAAACTTGAACTTGCTGAGCTTCAGGATTCTTCAAAGGTGCTTGCCATCCATCAGTGCAATTTTTAATGACATTCAGAAAGCGTTTGCTCACATAACTTCTCATACCAGTTGACTGCTCTTGATTGCTGGTCACTACTTTCGATGCATATGTTGCTAATTTGGCAGACACTACAACATCTCCTAACTTGGATTTTGCAGGGTCAAGGCCACTACATGTGCCTACAGAAATAACTGCTTTGGGTCTTAGCACGGAGGCTGCATTCTTTACAGATACAAGAGAACCACCAGGACCAATACCATTTTTGTAACATCTTAGTAAAGCAACTTTTAACTCCTCTTGACTTTGACCCACATCAGAAAAGTAAACATAGCCAAGACCATCAAACCAACATCTATAGGGGTTTTTTAGCTCACTATAACAAGCTAAGAACTCACAGTTTGTAACTGTAAGTAACAGAATGTCAACTGGCAGATCAGCATGTTTTGAAGGTTTGGTAATTGCCTTAATATCAGCGGAGGATGGAAGAACTTTATTAAGCTCAGGAGGGTCCCCTTGAGGGCTGCTTGTATCATCTTTAGATGGGAGTCCAGTTGTAACCTGGGCTGTGATGTCATCACTGCCTTCCTGTGAAGATTCTGACATCTCGGATTCTAACCATTGCATAAAAAACATAACATTACCTAAAAACTACAGTGTATTATACAGATACATTACGGTGAATAAACGTCAATTAATAGTCTAATTAAGGTATGAATCATTTGGTGGGGGAATTTTAAAATTAACTGCACTTGTGAATATCAGACGTAGCCTATGGAAGAGAGCAAGCAGAAGCTCTAGGGCTTCGTACACTGATTGCCATGGTCGTTGACAATGTCTCCAGCCACAGGTGTCTCAACACGAGAATTGTTGGTGCATTAACACACTCATAGCTAAAGACCAAGTCTATTAAGCCGTTGTGAACTAACATAATTATTTTATGAGGGTGAGCAAAATATAGTGATTTGTCAGTACCAGGTGGTGAGTAGATCAATAATTATTCAGCATGTGCAAATAATTAATAGACATTGAAAAATCATGATATTTTGTGGAGCCGAGTTTAATAATCATTTGAGACTTCAAAATGAGTTTTAATAAGGAGTCTAAGACACAGAACAGTGACAGTACCGAAAACTATAGATTTAAAATGATCCATTACCCTGCTGAATCTACATGAACTAAGAGACTACAGACATTTTTGTGTAATATGTAAAAAACAAGGGAGAGTGCTTCATCATGGGTTCGAAACACCGAGAAACAGATGAAAGCACGAGGCCGTGATGTCTTCTCAAATGAAACAATAAGAAATTATGCAGTGAAATGTTTTCTCTAGCTGGTATTTCATTGCTCCCATGAGTTGTGTTAATCAATAAAACACCATTAAAATGCAAGTGTTTGATCTCAGATGAAAAACATGTTTCACCTCAGATGAAAACCTGGTGGTGTTTTACCTGGTGTTTCATTAGATATCAAGATTCATCCACCTGACCCAAATAATTGTCATTTATTGGCTTTTGACTGTATGATCATGAATAATGAACGAGTTGAAAAGTAATATATCAAAAACGACAGGCATGGTTTTATCCGATATCCAGACACCGAAAAGTGGGTTGAAAAACGAGGTGTAGCCGAGCTTTTAAAGACTGACTTCAAGGTGCATGTGTCTGGATATCGGATGAAATACTGAGTGGAGTTTTTGATGTAGCTTCTAAAATGAACTACCATAAATAATCTATTAAGCGCAGCACCTTTACCAAAAATAATTTAACAGACATGAATAAGCACCACCATGGCACTAGTTTGGGTATTTACATATTAAGGCCCCACCTCTGTTATGGTGCTTGATATCCCTTGAGAAATAGGACTTCAACCAACTCGTTATTTCTAAAGTTTTAATGTAGGGAAGCTCTTGAAACCAGGTTCATATAACAGTTTGAGATCACCATATTTCGTTCTAAATCGTGCATACCAAGTACTCGCCTCACTTAATTCTCTCCATATTCCCCTCACTGTTTTACCCGTAGTTGAAATAAGTGCTGCTCTCAAATAAGCGCCGCTCTCGTATAAGCGTCGCGGCGCTTAATCAATCATTTATGGTACAATTCTTGGAGAAAGTCAAAGATAAATTTTGCAAAATTTTATGATAATAATTATCTGATATCCAAACCACCGTCACGGTAAGTTGTGATTTTCTTTGTTTTCTTCTTTACGAACAAGTTTGAGAAATTATGTTTCTGCGAACACGGGAACCAACACTGCACATGATCAGATCAGTTTAATTAGTGCGTTAAGTCATCTGAAATGTTCATTTGACATGTATGAATTAAATGCAATTTGCTACTTCTACATATGATACAGCAGATAATACATGTCTTGTACCCCCGGCCTCACTCCAGGCAAATTTTGCATAGGAATTGAAAAGAGAAAACAATACTTTGCCAAATTATGGGTGGTAACCAAGGTGTATTATGGGCAATATAAAAGTGGCCACCTTACAATTCAAAGCTCAACCTTAAACCTACAAACAGACCCAAGACTCCGTGTTACAAAATATTCACTGTCATGACGTTATGCTCTCTTTTGCAAAACAATGCACACTACATTCCTCCACATTTCCTATTGGTAAAGTATCCTGCAAACTTGGACGACACAAGTATTTGATTATAGGTTTTTACGGCAAGTAGGTTTGTTCACACTTGCAATGCTCAGAAAACATGGGACTGTAGGCATTTTGAATGCCATTTGCATGTTTACATCGGAACTTTAGTTTGCATTCACTTCCAGAACTGTAAAAAAACTATACTCAAACACATAGATAAAGATATTCCAGAGTTTAAGCAGATCCATTCTACAACTCATTAGTGGTATTCATAAAGAATAATTCATAAAGAGAAAACAAAGAAGATCACAACTGTGACGGTGGTTTGGATATCGGACAGTAGCAGATCCAGGGGAGGAGCCCTAGGGGGCCCAAGCCCCCCTCTTATTTTTAGACCAAACTGATGAGGCCTGAAGGGCTGAAAAACTTTTTTGGAGACCACTCCCCACCCCCTCTCTAAGGTCTGGATGACTAGGCCCCCCTTATCTCCAGGTCTGGACCTGGCACTGTCGGATACTAAATACCATAAAATTTTAACAACTTTATCTTTGAACAGATATGCAACATGATGATTTTTTACAATTGTTTCATTATTGTCCTGAGAGACTTAAAAAAGGCTTTGTTTTACCACCCTCAACCTTGCAGTGAAAAACTTAGGCACAAGGCTAGACAGGTAACAAAGCTAATTCAGTTTCTCAGGACAAAGTGGGCGCTGTGTGACAAAGGCCCATTAAGGGCTCTTACAGACTAAGGACTCAGGTCACAGACTATAACCTATTTCTTTACCTGCTGTTTTTGAGTGATCTCTATCAGCAGACTCTTGGTTTGAAACAACATCTGTAACAGTAACAAGAATAAATTTGAACAAGACTGAAAATTTACAAGTCACTCAGTTCGCTGACGTTGAGGGGGATTATTGAAAAACACATATGCAGGTATCACAGCATTTTTAGTACCAAACTGTTATTTTTGCATTTTTTGCGTGTTTCTGCGAACACGGAAACCAACACTCCGCATGATCAGATCAGTTTAATTAGTGCATAAGTCATCTGAAATGTTCATTTGACATGTATGAATTAAATGCAATTTGCTACTTCTACATATGATACAGCAGATAATACATGTCTTGTACCCCCGGCCTCACTCCAGGCAAATTTTGCATAGGAATTGAAAAGAGAAAACAATACTTTGCCAAATTATGGGTGGTAACCAAGGTGTATTATGGGCAATATAAAAGTGGCCACCTTACAATTCAAAGCTCAACCTTAAACCTACAAACAAACCCAAGACTCCGTGTTACAAAATATTCACTGTCATGACGTTATGCTCTCTTTTGCAAAACAATGCACACTACATTCCTCCACATTTCCTATTGGTAAAGTATCCTGCAAACTTGGACGACACAAGTATTTGATTATAGATTTTTATGGCAACTAGGTTTGTCCACACTCGCAATGCTCAGAAAACATGGGACTGTAGGCATTTTGAATGCCATTTGCATGTTTACATCGGAACTTTAGTTTGCATTCACTTCCAGAACCGTAAAAAAACTATACGCAAACACATAGATAAAGATATTCCAGAGTTTAAGCAGATCCATTCTACAACTCATTAGTGGTATTCATAAAGAATAATTCATAAAGAGAAAACAAAGAAGATCACAACTGTGACGGTGGTTTGGATATCGGACAGTGGCAGATCCAGGGGAGGAGCCCTAGGGGGACCAGGCCCCCCTCTTATTTTTAGACCAAACTGATGAGGCCTGAAGGGCTGAAAAAATTTTTTTGGAGACCACTCCCCACCCCCTCTCTAAGGTCTGGATGACTAGGCCCCCCTTATCTCCAGGTCTGGACCTGGCACTGTCGGATACTAAATACCATAAAATTTTAAGAAATTTATCTTTGAACAGATATGCAACGTGATGATTTTTTACAAATGTTTCATTAATTGTCCTGAGAGACTGAAAAAAAGCTTTGTTTTACCACCCTCAACCTTGCAGTGAAAAACTTAGGAACAAGGCTAGACAGGAAGCAAAGCTACTTCAGTTTCTCAGGACAAAGTGGGCGCCGTGTGACAAAGGCCCATCAAGGGCTCTTACAGACTATAACCTATTTCTTTACCTGCTGTTTTTGAGTGATCTCTATCAGCAGACTCTTGTTTTGAAACAACATCTGTAACAGTAACAAGAATAAATTTGAACAAGACTGAAAATTTACAAGTCACTCAGTTCGCTGACATTGAGGGGGATTATTGAAAAACACATATGCAGGTATCACAGCATTTTTAGTACCAAACTGTTATTTTTGCATTTTTTGCGTGTTTCTGCGGACACGAGAACCAACACTGCGCATGATCAGATCAGTTTAATTAGTGTGTTAAGTCATCTGAAATGTTCATTTGACATGTATGAATTAAATGCAATTTGCTACTTCTACATATGATACAGCAGATAATACATGTCTTGTATAGGAATTGAAAAGAGAAAACAATACTTTGCCAAATTATGGGTGGTAACCAAGGTGTATTATGGGCAATATAAAAGTGGCCACCTTACAATTCAAAGCTCAACCTTAAACCTACAAACAGACCCAAGACTCCGTGTTACAAAATTTTCACTGTCATGACGTTATGCTCTCTTTTGCAAAACAATGCACACTACATTCCTCCACATTTCCTATTGGTAAAGTATCCTGCAAACTTGGACGACACAAGTATTTGATTATAGATTTTTATGGCAAGTAGGTTTGTCCACACTCGCAATGCTCAGAAAACATGGGACTGAAGGCATTTTGAATGCCATTTGCATGTTTACATCGGAACTTTAGTTTGCGTTCACTTCTAGAACTGTAAAAAAAACTATACTCAAACACATAGATAAAGATATTCCAGAGAGTTTAAGCAGATCCATTCTACAACTCATTAGTGGTATTCACAAAGAATAATTCATAAAGAGAAAACAAAGAAGATCACAACTTTGACGGTGGTTTAGATATCGGACAGTAGCAGATCCAGGGGAGGAGCCTCAGGGGGACCAGGCCCCCCTCTTATTTTTAGACCAAACTGATGAGGCCTGAAGGGCTGAAAAAAACTTTTTTGGAGACCACTCCCCACCCCCTCTCTAAGTTCTGGATGACTGGGCCCCCCTTATCTCCAGGTCTGGACCTGGCACTGTCGGATACTAAATACCATAAAATTTTAAGAAATTTATCTTTGAACAGATATGCAATGTGATGATTTTTTACAAATGTTTCATTACTGTCCTGAGACACTGAAAAAAAGCTTTGTTTTACCACCCTCAACCTTGCAGTGAAAAACTTAGGAACAAGGCTAGACAGGAAACAAAGCTACTTCAGTTTCTCAGGACAAAATGGGTGTCGTGTGACAAAGGCCCATCAAGCCGGCTCTTACAGACTAAGGATTCAGGTCACAGACTAACCTATTTCTTTACCTGCTGTTTTTGAGTGATCTCTGTCAGCAGACTCTTGTTTTGAAACAACATCTGTAACAGTAACAAGAATAAATTTGAACAAGACTGAAAATTTAGAAGTCACTCAGTTCTCTGACGTTGAGAGGGATTAGTGAAAAACACATATGCAGATATCAGAACATTTTTAGTACCAAACTGTTATTTTTGCATTTTAATGAATATGCAAGGTAGGCTGGTAGACCTAGTGCATGTCTTAAAGTCAGTCAGGTTACCAAACAACAGCAATTGCAATATCATAATTTCTTATAAATGTGTTAATCTATAGGTAAAACGTCAAGGGCAAATTTCATGACTTGTTTAGTGAAAGCATTCTTTCAAAGGACTGAAAATTTGTGACTGAGTTAACCCATTCGCCCCTGAACCGCCCGTAACCGCCCGTGCGGATCCAGGTCCTTTCAAACCTTTGTGACGTCATCAGTTTTAACGGTCAAGGACAACTTTCTTCGCTAACTTGTGCAGGGTGAAGAGATCTTTCAAACCATACCAGAATGAGCACAATTCAGTCAAGGACACCGGAGAAAGAAGCAAAAAACCACCTGACAAGGACCTGAAAATCTCCATGAAAATCTTGTTCCATTACCCACCTACCTTTCCTTTCACCTAATCCTAAGATCCTAAAAGCTTTCCTAAAAACTCTTCCCACCAAAATGAAGCCTACTAAATGCCCAGCAAGAGAAAAAAAAAATAAGGCAAGAAAAGCGAAAAAAGAAGGGAGGAGAGAAAGCGGAAAGTAAAAGTCAAGAATGCTGTGTCACTTTTAAACCCAAAAACTATGTCGAAATTTTGCTTTCTGCGCATGCCCAAACTTCGTAAGCTGATATTTTGCATCTGGATCAGAAGGCCGCCAAGTGTACGACCTGTAAACCGGTTTGTGGTAAGTTTTAGCTCTTTATAGCACGACAGTGACCAGAAAACCACTCGACTAGCTTCAAAACGCGTTTTTCGGCAAAATCTCCAGGAGCGAATGGGTTAAATAGTTTTTTATTCAATTGCTAACAAAGCTTAACAACATGCAGTTAATGTTCATGACAATTAATGTTTACTTCAAAGTATATAATTATACGTGGGTATAATTAATGTCAATATTTCACATGTATTTTAATTGCACTATTACTATTTTTATTCCATGGTAGTTATTATTTCTCTAAAATGAACGAATTGAAATAAATATATGATTGATTGATTGATTGATTGATTATAATTGACAGTGAGACCTCCCATTTAAATATATCCTCAATTTGCAGGAAATCTCAAGATTAATTGTTGCTGTTTATTAGTATATACACACTGAGTGATCTCGTGATTCAAGCAATCTGATTGGTTTGCTATCTCGGACTATGACATTTAAAATAACTAAGATAGTACGCGCATTCTGATTGGTTAAAAACCTACGGTTTATTGTGCTGGTAAACTCATAGAAAACTTAAAGTTATTTTATGAAAGCAATACGCCACACTTTCTATGGGTTTACCGGCGTGATAACCCACGCGGGATGTTGGGAAAACACTCGAAAAGCTTGGAAATCACTTGCCTTCGGCTCATGATTTACAAGCTTTTCTCGTGTTCTCCCAACATCCCGCGTGGGTTATCACGCCGGTAAACCCATAGAAAGGGTGGACATTGCTTAGATATTCAAAGCACTAGGCGGTGAATATATATAAAGCAAAACAAAATCGCGACCATGAAGTTTCAGTCGAGTAAGAACTTTTTGAAAATACAAGAATATCCCAGTGGCGATGATTTTGAAGGTCAGAAAAGACTTCCATGGTGTTTAAACAGCGTGATTTATCGTGAAGTGATTTACTGTACTTGACTTTCATACGCTCAAAGCAATGTTTTTACCACTACAGAGGAAAACGAGGCTGCTTTGTTTAACTGTTTTGTGAACTCGGGATTTCATCACAAGACCAATTTTGAGTAGAAGTAGAAGTAAATTTAAGGAGAAAAAAAGTAAAGCAAATAATTTCGAAAACTGCACGTGCCAGCAATTTAACATGGCAAAGAACACTGCAGATAAACAAAGCTCACCTCGATTGTAGCCCGACGCTGTTGACAGCATTTGCAAGAACTGACAAAAAAAACTTTTTCCTTCATGGTGAGTTGACAGAGGCAAATAAAGCTCTGTGTTTCTTCTCAGACAGAGGAGTTATTTAAAATTTCGACATTTTCTTTTCAATCATAATTGATGCTAAAGCTTACTAAAAGCTAAGCTAAAAATGGTAACTGGTAACTATAAAGACAACTACAGTTTAATAGGTCCCTTGCTTGGTCAAAATAATTTCAAGGAAGGTGCTCTTTAGTGAGTGAGGCAGCATTGAGGACTAATATAATGTTGATAGCATTGTAGTAACTCACCTTGTAAAGGTATGTTCTCCTCCCCATTATGGTCTTCTTCAATATTTCCTAGCAATAGCTTTGATAGTTCATCCTTTGATAATGCTAAATGAATTATGGTCAATAAACAGAATACAATGGATACTGAAAAGACCACAATAATAGCAATGTTGAGGTTTGATTTCTCTTTGTATCGTAAAGTCATTGCATGTGAGCGTTGTGTTTGCTGAAAAACAACTATACTCTGCAGGATATTTAAGTTTCTGGTAACGCAAGAACAGTCCGATCATAACAACTAGAAGGACAAACTGACCGCAGATGTGAAAAATAAACACCCAAAAAAATAGTCTCTCCAACTTTTTTTGTCTCTCTATATTTGCCTCTTTGCGGATGCGTCGCCACATCTCGACACCTAGCAGAGTAACAAACAGCCAGCCAAATCCTGACACACCAAAGGTAATACCAGCAAAACCCAACGGTGTTAGGTGTGAACTCATGGCAGAAGTGTAATTGTTATAACAACGCTGTGTTTTGCATTTAATTTCTTCCGGCATACAGTTGAATTGCAGCCTGTCTCTGCCTTCATAGTCTTTAAGTTGATTAATGACAGTGGACCAGGAAATCACAGAGAATAAAAAAAGAAAGCCACTGAATATGGTCTGAGACCTCAATGTAACTTTGACGAGATTATCCATCACAAAGAAGGATCATGTAATCTGAAAGAAACAAAGAATTAACACAGAAAGGTTAGAACCATGGGTAAGATAATTTGGTTATCTGTGCATCCTGAAGAAATTGAACCCACCGTGACTCTATGAATAAATGAACATACAAGTACGTCTTAACTTAATATGTGAAATTCACAAACAGCTAGCAGAGTGCATTTAAAATAAAATTAACAATAATGTAGAATATTGCCGACCTGACCAATACATTTTGCGGGATGGAACCCGAAGAAGGACATTTTTACTGCCTAAAATCTTTTAGGCACATGGCCAACTTCGCCATTTGAGGGACACATGATGTTTAAACTGTCTTGTTTTTGGCTTCTAAAATTTTGGAAAACAAATTTTCTGTCAAAAAAAAAAATTCAAAACATGTTGCCAACAAAGAATGTTAAATTGTGCATCCAAATGCTTTCAATTGATTGAGTTAAGCCAGAGAAAGTCATGAAAATTAATGAACATTAGCAGATTCCAGTTGAATGAGAAAAATCCAGAGACACAATCATGACTGAAATAACAAACTTCAATTTAAACCATGTGAACAAATAAATTTGTTTTTAATTCCCTTTTAATGCCTGCATTTTTTTCCGGAAACCTTTTATCAGCTAACTTTCAAGTCTGAGAAATTAAGCTTGCAATGAAGTTTATCCCAGACCTTTTAACTCTCACGGTTTGTCACTGTGAGACTCACGGTTTGGGCTGTCAACTCATGGACTCACAATTTCAATCTAACCCAAGACCAGCTGAAAAAAGTGTTCCCTCTTCCACATGAGGTAGCATTTGAACCTTATCTAAAAGCTTTTCAATACAAAGTCCTTAATTCAATTTATTCACCAATAAAAAGTTATGCAAAATAGGTTATATTCAAGATGAATTAAATGTTCACTATGCAAAACGGATTCGGAATCCCTTAATACCACATCTTTTTCGAATGTAGACACACCAAGCAGTTTTGGAAGGAATTTCAATATTACTATTACACATTGACAAGAGAATTCATCTGCCTGACCTTACAAGACGTTATTACAGGAATATTATATACAAATTGCCCTTTACTGAATTATTTGATACTGATCGCTAAACTATACCTATGGGGTTGTAGAAAAAATCAGACTCTTCGAGTCATAACTGCCTTTTCATCCAAAGTTAAAATTAAGTATGAAACAGAAAAGTACATATGTGTTAAAACTAATAAAACGGACAAATTTAATAAGAAGTGGGTTCTGCCTTTGGACTCTGTACCCTAGCACCGTCTGTACTTAGAACATACTTTTCTTTTTTGTATAGTTACTTTACCGTTAAAGTTCATAGTGTAATGTAATGTAATGTATTTGTAATTTATTGTAATGTAATATCATGCAATGTCATGTAACATTAGTATTGTAGCGCTGTGCAGTATTTAATAAAAGTTTGAAAAGTCAAAAAAAAAAAATGGACTCACAATTTAGCCTTCAAATCTCATGGTGAATCAGAAGATCTTAAAGTTGCCAGAAAATTCTGGTAGGAGTCATGTAATTTCAAAACATCCGTCTTCAAAATAGCTATATAAATTGTATCAATCTAATTTTCATAGGAAAAACTCAGGGTCCAATTGTTCCAATCTTATTCCCTTGAAACATAGGATTAGCTAAGCCTTATAGCAAATTCAAATGTCCTATCAACGTGGATTAGGGAAACAAAATCTGAAACTAACTTAGAGACTTCAGGGCCTCCCAGCTTCAGAAGAAAAAAAAAATCAGCAGCTGGAGCAGCCATTGCAAATATCGTAAAACAATTAGGGAAAAGAATACTATGAAAGAATATTCTGCCTTTTACTTTTTGGTTTCATTAGACCAATGTTTTTGAAATCTCCACGTTTGGGGAGGTTTTTAGTGTATCATCAAAACTAACCCCCCCAAACAATGTCCTATGAAAATTGCAGCCCCTCCCCTAAACCCCTCCTAGACCACGTTTTAAGATAATCCGTTTGTCTCTCCTTTCTTTCCAATAGGCTGCATTGACTTCATAAGCAAAAATTTATTAGCAGATACTTGTTTAGAAATAGTTTATAGGGTCCTAGGCTAAGCTTGGTTACATAGCAGTCAATATGATGGCTACTGGCAGATGCATGAGGGGTAACCCCACAGGTTTTTTTGCATAATACAGTAAAGTGGGCTCAATAATAATCTACAGATGCACAATTTTGCTGCTGGCAAGGAACCCTTCGAGTGAATATTTTTTTACAGTAAGTACTCTTGAAGGAAACGTGGATTTACTTCAATGATAATATAGTTTGTTGACAACTTTTACAGAGAATGTTACATGTAAGTCTTGTATCTTACAATTTCAACCCCCTCTCGTTTTTTGCATTTTCAAAATTGACCCCTGCGCCCCCCTCCCCCAAATTAACCTTTTTGAAAATCATACCCCTTTGCCCTCTCCAACCCCCTCCTTCCCCTCAACTGGGACGTGATAAATGTTGCTTCCTAAGTGTCTTCCCGCATGCTGCGTTAGATTGGGGAGATAGAGAATGTGAAAGTTGAAAGACAGGGGGATGATTATTACGTGGGCTAATATAAGAGAAATAAGGCACTGATGACAGGCTCAATTTTTAAAAATGTCTTTTAAGAGGACGGGCCTTGTTAACCACAACCACCACAGGACTTAACCTCAATCAGCAGAGTGCTCGACTGCAGAATGGGAGGTCATGGGTTCAATCTCCAGAACTGGACCAATAATCAGGGTCTCAAAATAACTAAGAAATGAAGGTTCAGTACATGTACTGCCTTTGCCCTGCAAATAGTTAGACTTTCGGGTGGCTCAAATGACCATGTATAAATTGGCAGTCTAGTCCCATAAGTTAGAAATCCGAGCATTATTCTAGTACTACCATATCATGCTAAATATATTGACACAGTTTGCTTTAATGATTGTCCTAATTTAAGCCTGTGGTAATTATATAAATATATTTAATATACAGTGTAAACAGATTGTAATTTTTTGGTTCTGAGTTTTAGCATCTTTTCTGCTGTTATGTGACTCACAAAATGGCTGACTCTGTCCATTAGCATTATATTATTAATTTTGTCTACGAGGTGATTCAGCTAATAAAGACAGACGGATTGACGTTTCACATATTACACATCATTGTTTTTGTAGTTTACAAGTTAATAAGGCTCATAAAATTGAAATGGTGAAAAAATGTTGACTCTATACAAGCCCTGCAGTGCCCCAGCAGAACTACTTGACATTTTTTTTTTTAAATATAATGTGCCTTGATGTAAACACATTTGTACAGATCAAACATTCAACTACTATAAAACCAGCATACTGTAAAATTCCGAAAATAAGCCCCTGCAAATATAAGCTCCCCAAACTCGTAATTCAAAAAACCCGCCATTAAATCCCCCCTCCAAATATAAGCTCTCCCCGGGGGCAGGTACTTGGAAATTGCCCTCAAATACAAAGTCGAACAAAGCAAAAATGGTAAATTTCCTTCCAACTATAAGGCTAGCCCAATCGATTTGAAATGCAAATTTCCCTCCATATTTGGAGGGGCGGCCCCGCCAAATATAAGCCCCTCAAAAAGGGCCTTTGAAAAACATAAGCCCCGGGGCTTGTTTTCAGAATTTTGTGGTACTTTTAAAATATCGACTTGCGATTTCATAAAGAGAAATTCAGAACAGGAAGAATTACATTATGTAAAAAAAAGTTATATGCACATACTCTTTTTACTTTTACCTTACACACCCATCTGGATTTCCATGAAATTGTTAGACACCATAATTTTAATTTACACTTAATGTAGAAGAATAAATTGTTTTAGGCAGTTAGATGATCTTTTTATCAAATAAGTCTCAATTTTTGTGAATTCTGTGTTTGTTGTGAAAGTTAAGATTACATTTTAACACCTTCTTAAACAGGCTTACACTTTTTGGCAATTAATAAGCTCACAATTGAGTGAATGTCTCTTTTTTCCTAGGCCAGGCAAAATACACAGCAATATATGCGCAAAACTAACTATGTACTTGAATAAAAGGTTCTCTTCTTTGTCGATACGTGAAAAAAATGACTGTGAAAGAAGAAAAAGGACACTTAGTGGGATATTACATAACACGCTATACCGCTAGCCACACCACTTGCCTTTTAAAATGCATGGCCACCGAGCAATCACGAACAACCATGCTTACGTACTTGCAAGGCGTGTTTAGTGGTAAATCACCCTGAAATAGCATTGACCTTGGAAAAATGCTTAATTCAAGGTAAAAATCATTGTTTTCTTTACTTGAATTGAGCGCTTTTTTATGAATTATGTGATTTTTCTTGATATCTTCAAGTTATCACAAGTCGCTTCTACAAAAGCAGACAAAAGTAACAAAGGTGAGCCTATGGATGGAAACTTAAAATAAATGTGGCAAGAGGTCCGTAGTTTGAAAGAATAATAAAATTGGAAAACGCAAAGCAATTTTTTTTTTATCAATTGAAGCAATTGAAACATCGA